GAGGCAGGGGGTGGGTGGAGGAATTTGATGAAGGTGGTCAAAAGGTACAAGCTTTTAGTTATAACATAAATTAGTACTGGGAATATAATGTAAAACATGACTATAGTTAATTCTGCCATATGGTATATTTGAAAGTTATGGTAGATCCTAAGAGTTCTCAACACAAGGGAAAACTTTTTTTTCTTATATCTATAGGAGACAATGGATATTAACTTATTGTAATCATTTCATATGATAGGTAAATCCAGTCACTGCACCATATACATACACAGTGCTATTTATCAACTAGATCTCAAAAAAATTGGGAGAAAAAAAGAAACAACATCTCAAACAACCTACATTTACACTGTAAGGACCCAGGGAAAAAAGAACAAAGCCCAAAGTTGGAAGGAAGGGAATAACAATGATCGGAACAGAAATAAGTGAAACAGACAACAACAACAAAAGAAAGGTCAATGAAACTAAGAGCTGTGTTTCTTTGAAAAAATAAGGATAAACATTTATTTAAATTTTTTTAAATTTATGTATTTATTTTGGGAGAGAGAGTGAGCAAGCAGGGGAGCAGCAGAAAGAGAGAGAGACAGAATCCCAAGCAGGCTCCACACTGTCAGCACAGAGCCTGATGTGGGGCTTGAACTCATGAACCATGAGACCATAACCTGAGCGGAAACCATGAGTTGGGTGCTAAACCAACTGAGCCACCCAGGTGCCACATAAAATAGAGATAAACCTTTAGCCAGACTTACCCAAGGGAAAAAGAGGAAAGACTCAAATAAAATTGGAAATGAAAAAGGAGACATTACAATAAATACCACAGAAATACAAAGGATCCTAAGAAACTACTATGAACAATTTTATGCCAACAAATTGAACCTACAAGAAATGGATAAATTCCTAAAAACATCAAATGTACCAGGATTTAGTCATGAAGAAATAGAAAACCGGAAAAACTAATTACAAGTAAGATTACATCAGTACTCAAAAACCATCCAACAAAAAGTCCAGTACCAGACAGCTTCACTGGTAAATTCTACCAAACATTTAAAGAAGAATAGCAGTCCTTCTCAAACTCTTCCAAAAAATAGAAGAGGAAGAACACTTCCAAACTCATTCTAGAAGGCCAGCATGATGATGAACATCAATGCAAAATGAATATGGATGAACACTGATGTGAACGAAAATCCTTAACAAAATAATTAGCAAATGAGTTCAACACTATATTAAAAGGATCACACACCATAATGAAGTGGGATTTATTCTAGGAGTGCAAAGATGGTTCAACATCCACCAATCAATGTGATTCACATTAACAAAATGTGGGATAAAAATACAATCATCTCAACAGACACAAAGAAAGCATTTAATAAAATTCAACACCCATTCATGATAAAACCTCTCAACAAACTGTGTATAAAGGGAATGTACTCAATATAATAAAGACCATATTTGATAAGCCCACAGCTAACATTATAGTTAAGGGTGAAAAGCTAAAGTGTTGCTTCTCATTTCAGTAACAAGACAATACCTACTCTCACTACCTTTATACATATACATATGTTGTATATATACACGTATACAATATAGGAGTGGAAGTCCTAGCCAGACCAATTAGGTAAGAAAGAAAGCATTCAGGGGCACTTGGCTGGCTCAGTCAGTGGAGTATGTGACTCTTGACCTCAGGGTTGTGAGTTTAGGTTGCGTGCAGAGATTACTTAAAAATAAAATCTTTAGGGGCACCTGGGTGGTTCAGTTGGTTAAGTGTCAGACTTCAGCGCAGGTCACGATCTCATGGTTCATGAGCTCGAGCCCCACAATGGGCTTTGCACTGATAGCTTGGAGCCTGCTTCAGATCCTCTGTTTCCCTCTCTCTGCCCCTCTCCAGCTCACACTCTTTCTCTCAAAAATAAACATTAAAAAAATAAAAAAGCTGCAAGATACAACATCAGTATACAAAAATCAGTTACCTTCTATATGCTAATAACTGTAAGAAAGAGAAATTAAGACAACAATCCCATTTACAATGCTTCAAAAAGACAGCCATAAAAAAAGAATGAAATCTTGCAATTTGCAACATGGGTGATCTAGAGAATAGAATGCTAAGTTAAATCAGAGAAAGACAAATACCATATGATTTCACCTGTATGTGAATTAAAAAAAAAAAAAGACAACAACAACAAAAAACAGACTCTTAAATACTCTGGCAACTGGTGGTTGCCAGAGGGGAATAGGAGGGAGATGGGTGAAATAGATAAAGCAGATTAAGAATATACTGATCTTGATAAGTACTGAGAAATTTATAGAATTATTGAATCGCTATACACCTGAAAGTAACATTGTATATCAATTATACTTGAATGATAATTCAGAAAAGAATAAAATACCTAGGAATAAACTTAACCAAGAAAGTGAAAAACCTGTACACTGAAAGCTACAGGACACCAATGAAAGAAAGACACAAATAAATGGGAAGATATTCCATGCTCAAGGATTGAAAGCATTAATACCGTTACCACCCAAGTGATCTACAGACTCAATGTAATCCCTATCAAAATCCCAATGGTATTTTCACACAAATAGAATAAGTCACAAAATTTGTATGGAACCACAAAACACCCCAAATAACCAAAGTGATCCTTAAAAAGGAGAACAAAGCTACAGACATCACACTTCCTGATTTCAAACTGTATTACAAAGCTATAGTATCAAAACAATATGGTGCTGACGTAAAAGATACACACATCAATGGGACAGAATAGAGAGCCAAAAAATAAACCCCCATATATATTGTCAATTAATTTACAACAAGTGACCCAAGAATATTCAATAGGGAAAGGAGAGTTTCTTCAATAAACGGTGCTAGAAAAACTGGACAGCCACATTTCACAAGGATGAAACTGTAACCTATCTTACACCATACGCAAATATCAACTCAAAATGAACTAAAGATTTGGCTGTAAGACCCGAAATCATAAACTCCTAGAAGAAAACAGGGGGTAAGCTCCTTGCCATTGGTCTCAGCAATCATTTTTTTGGATTTGACACCAAAAGCAAAAGCAACAAAAGCAAAAATCAGCAAGTGGTACCATACCAAGCTTCTGCACTGCCAAGGAAACTATCAACAAAATGAAAAGGCAATCTACCAAACAGGAGAAAATATCTGCAAATCAGATATCCGATACAGGATTAATATCCAAAATATATAAGGAACTCATACAACTTAACAGTAAAAATAAACTATCCAATTAAAAAAATGGACAGAGGAACTGAATAGATATTTTGCTAAAGACAACACACAAAGAGCCAAGAGGTATGCGAAAAGGTGTTCAACATCACTGTCAGAGAAATGCAAATCCAAATCACCATGAGATGTCATCTTACGCTGATTAAAATAATGACTATTACCCTTTTTTTTTAAGTTTATTTTGAGAGAGCAAGTGAGCATGCGTGTGAGTGGGGGAGGGGCAAAGAGAGGGAGAGAGAATCCCAAGCAGGCTTGAAGTGGGGCTTGATCTTATGAACCGTGAGATCATGACCTGAGCCGGAATCAAGAGTTGGACACTTAACCCACTGGGTCACCCAGGCGCCCCAGAATAACGGCTATTATCAAAAACACAAGAGATACCAAGTGTTGGAGAAGATGGAGAGAAAAGGGAACCCTTGTGCATTGTTAGGGGCAATGTAAATTGGTGTAGCCACTAAGTAAAACAGTATTCAAAATAAATAAAACAGTATGGAGGTTCCTTAAAACCTTAAGAACACCAAATGACCCAGAAGTGAAAAGAAATCACTACCTCAAAAAGATACATGCACCCTCATGTTCACTGCAGCATTATTTAAAATAGCCAAGATACAGAAACAACCTAAGTGCCCATCCACAGATAAATGGATAAAAAAAAAAACATATATAAACAGGTATTATTCATCCATAGAAAAAAAAGGAAATCCTGCCATCTATAACAGCATGGATGGCTTTGAGGGCATTGTGCTAAGTGAAGTAAGTCAAAGAAAGACAAATAACGTATGATCTCACTTATATGTGGAATCTAAAACACCAGACTCACAGACACAGAGAATAGAATAGTGGTTGCCAAAGGTGGGCGTGAAGGTGCTCAAAAGGTACAAACTTCCAATTATAAGATAAATAAGTTCTGGGGATATAATGTACAGCATGGAAACTATAGTTAACAATACTATATTGCATATTTGAAAGTTGCAAAAAAATCAACCTTAAAAGTTATTAACAAAAAATTTGTAACTATGTCAAGTGAGATTAACTAAACTTACTGTGGTAATCATTTTGCAATATATAAATATATCAAGGGGCGCCTAGGTGGATCATTTGGTTAGGTGTCTGACTCTGGATTTTGGTTCAGGTCATGAAGTCATGGTTCATGAGTTCCAGCCCTGCATCAGGCTCTGCACTGACAGTACACAGCCTGCTTGGGATTCTCTCTCTGCCCCTCTCCCACTCTTGCTCACTCTCTCTCAAAAAAAATAAACGTAAAAAAAAATACATACGTATATATGTGTGTGTATGTATATACACACACACACACACACACACACATGTATAAACATGTCAAATCATTACACTGTACACCTTAAATGATTTTATTACGTGTGCTGAAGCAAGCACCTATACACCTTAAATACAATGTTATATGTCGATTTTATCTCAAACAAAAAAAATCAATAAACAATAAAAACTGGGATAAGAAGATATCAACTTTGAGAGAATTGTTTCTTTGAAGGAGGAAAAAAATGGACTGCAGGGAGGACAGAGGGGATTTTAACTCTTATTTTTAAACGAAAAAGGTGTAAAGCACACATATAACTGTTAGCATCTGCTACTTTTAGATGGTGAAGATAGAGCTATTATTTTTTATCCTTTTACGTATTTCTAAAATATTTAAAACGAAAAAGCCAGTCATCATAGACCAATGGATGTGCCTGCATGGTTCCCTAGGACCTCATCCTGGCTTCTCTGGGAGAAGAAGTACCTGGCCTTCGCTTCTTCGGCCCATACTCCATGATGCTGTCACTGTGTTGAGACAGTGTCTCATCATTTCCACTCTCCATCTCTTCATTTCCAATATCATCATCTTCGTAGCCAGTCTTTTCTTTAATTCGATCACCCAGGGCACTTTTTAACATCTATTGAGAAAATACTTTTTAACATCTTTCATTGATTTCAGCAGAATGCAAGTAAGAAAGAGTAGACAGAATCTTTAAAAAGCTTCTTCTCGGGGCGCCTGGGTGGCTCAGTTGGTTAAGCATCCGACTTCAGCTCAGGTCACGATCTCACGGTCCGTGAGTTTGAGCCCCGCATCGGGCTCTGGGCTGATGGCTCAGAGCCTGGAGCCTGCTTCCGATTCTGTGTCTCCCTCTCTCTCTGCCCCTCCCCCATTCATGCTCTGTCTCTCTCTGTCTCAAAAATAAATAAAAACGTTAAAAAAATTTATAAAAATAAAAAAAGCTTCTCATAATTAGGTATTAATAACTTTTAGATACTTACACATATTTAGTTTATCAAGTGTGTATATTAACCAGTGCTATGGACTATTCAGTTTCAATCAACTTTAGAGTAAGTCACACAAGGATTTAATACATTTATTCAATGATACCCCTAAACTGTAATACTGGATTTTGTGAGAAGCAGAGATCTAATTTTATACCAAATCTTAGATGTGTCTAAAATAAAGGTTTTTAAATTTTTTTTTTTTTCAACATTTATTTATTTTTGGGACAGAGAGAGACAGAGCATGAACGGGGGAGGGGCAGAGAGAGAGGGAGACACAGAATGGGAAACAGGCTCCAGGCTCTGAGCCATCAGCCCAGAGCCTGACGCAGGGCTCGAACTCCCGGACCGCGAGATTGTGACCTGGCTGAAGTCGGACGCTTAACCGACTGCGCCACCCAGGCGCCCCTAAAATAAAGGTTTTTAATGTAGTTTTCGGGGTGCGTGGCTGGCTCAGTTGGTAGAGCATGCGACGCCTGATCTTGGGGTTGGTAAGCTTGAGCCCCATGGTGGGTACAGAGATTACTTACAAATAAAATCTTTAAAAAAAGTAAATAATTAAAAAATTTTTTAAAAAAGTAAATAATTAAATGAATAACTTTCATCAGAATTCAACAAAAATCTGGTTAAATCCATACCAAATTTGGTTATATCATGAAAGGCTAGGTGGAGATGACTTCTCATCCTATGTCCTATCTGCCTGATTAATGAAACATTTTTACAGTAATTAAGACACAACTAATTTTAGTACCTTAGCTTAGCTTCCATCTTCGACTGGAAGACCACTTAAATACTCACCAACTATGGCAATTGCAATATAGATAAAAAACAAGACTTGCCCAATCTAGTTCAGAGAGCCGTTGAGAGAGTTTCTCGGAAACTGCGTGTATTTCTTGTTCTGTTAACCTCTTCCTTGCCCTCTGGGAGAAGGGTGAATCCCAGGATGAGACTGTAGGTCTACCTTCATATCTGTAATAAAATGACCATGTGACATTTAAGTAGCCAAGTCACATTACTTAGACAAAATAACTGTAATGCATGCTTTAACAGATTCATACTGGTCTTCACAGCTAAGGTCAGAGAGTACACACCTTTCTTTAAATCCCTTTGCAAACAGACTAAAAACAGAGTGCAGTAATATTACCTTTTTCCTGTGGGAAGTTTCCTTGTCCTAGGGCTTTGGATCTGAGCTGAAACCATTTCCTGTTTGCTATCTTTAGGCAACTCAGAAGTTAAGAGAACTCTATTATCTGATTCCTGTTAAAAACAAAGAGTTGACTTGAAAAGGATACAAAGATGGCACATAAAAACATTTTGGGTGGGGGAGGAAAAGGGAGGTCCTATGGCACACAACTAGGTACCTTTATTCTCCACGTTTTACTTTTTTAAACATATTTGTCAAAATACTCTCTTGATCCTCAATACCAAAGGAACAAATGTCTATAAACATGTACTCAGATAAAAAGTGTGGGTCAGGATGCCATTCAAATATAAAGGCAGGTGAGGTGTTCTCCAACAAGAAAATTCAAGGGTTATGGCTAAACCTGGACAATGAAAAAGTGATCAAATCACAAGTGGTAAGTACTAAAATAATTCTCTTTGGTATCAAGAAGTCAACTGTCTAAAATTGAAACAGTTAAAAATCAAACGTTATGAATATAAATGCTTAACATTTTTAACAATTTATTTCTTAACTTCAGAGGAAATCTTATGAAGAGACATTTGATGTTTAAGAATCTCTTCAATTTAGGGTGCCTGGGTAGCTCAGTCGTTTAAGTGTCCGACTTCAGCTCGGGTCATGATCTCATGGTTTGTGGGTTTGAGCCCCACGTCGGGCTCTGTGCTAACTAAGAGCTCAGAGCCTGGAGCCTGCATTGCATTCTGTGTCTCCCTCTCTCTCTGCCCCTCCCCTACTTGTGCTCTGTCTCTCTCTCTCAAAAATAAATAAAACATTTTAAAAAATTAAAAAAAAAAAAGAATCTCTTCAACTTCACTTATGTGTTTCTTGTGTAAGTGAAATTAAATTTAACACTTTTTAGTAAATAAAAACTATAAAAACAATCACATTTTTAAAAACTTATTATTGAAGTTTAAGTGTCCTGCTCAAGAATTGTTTCAAAAGGAGTATTCCCATTTAAATGCCACTCAGGTCAGGAAATAGAATATTACCAGCAACTCAGAAGCCCTTCTACCACCCCTCTCTAAAAGTCCCCCAAATGTAATCATAATCCTAGGATCCCTTTTTTCTAACTTATCCACCTTCCTACCTGAATAGATGCACAGAATGTTTAGAATGATGGCCACCTAATGCTAATGATGCTCATTTCATCTTCGTACTTCTATGTACTCTGAGATTTTTAATAATGAAAATGTATCATTGTTTATAAATTCACCACCCGCATATCCCTACATGTTCGTTTCTAGGAGGACAGGGACAGGATAATTATAAAAATGGATTTTTTTCTTCCTAAAGTACAGTAGAAGCAAAAAGACCAAGGTATTGCTAGCAGTTCACACTGGATAATAGGAATACGGATGAAAGGTTGTTTTTCATACTTTCTTATTAAATTTTCAGTGATTTAACTAGGGACATAGAATACGGGTTCTGAAACTAGAATACTGAATTAAAAAAAAACACCTTTTTTTTTTTAATGTTTATTTATATTTGAGAAAGTGAGAAAGAGAGAGCGTGTGCATGAGCACGCCTGAGCAAGAGAGGGGCAGAAAGAGACAGAGACAGAATCGGAAGCAGGCTCCAGGCTCTGAGCTGTCAGCACAGAACCCAACAAGGGGCTCGAATTCATGAGCCGTGAGATCATGACCTGAGCCAAAGCCGGACGCTCAACCAACTGAGCCACCCAGGTGCCCCTAGAATACGGAGTTCAAATCCCGACTCTACAGTTGTTGTGTGACCTCAGACTAGATACTTAATCTCTTTATATCTGCTTCCCCTTGGGAAATTAAAAAAAAAAAAAGTACCTACTCCACAGCTGTTGAGGAGTAAATTACTCAATACCAGTAAAGTACCTAGAACTGTGCATGACACAAAATAAACAATGTGTCGTTAGCTCTTACTATTTTCCTTTCTATACATTCATCCCCACTGTTCTAGAGTAAGAACATGTAAGTATACCCAGAGGCAAAATTTAAGAAGTACAGTGCTTGGGTTAGTGCAGTATCTATAATTACCATTCTAGCAGAGACGTCTTTAAATTGATAGACATCCATCTCATTGAAAGTAAGCTTTTCCACTTACCACAGAAAATGCAGTGCCCTCTCCAGTAGAATTCACAGCAGGGGAGATGTGACTTGAGCGCAAGTATTCTTTTCCTATGGGACAGGGTGCTCGAGGCTCTGAAGGGTGGTAGGGTGGATGTAAAGGAATAGCTGATTGAATAGGCTCCCCTAGTTTCCTAGCACTTGGAATCACATCCACAGAAGGAATTTCCACTAAGTAGCAAAAATAAAGTGGACATTAAGATGAAACTGTAAGAAACACATCATTTGATATATATACATGCCTATAGGTACTAAAAACCTAAATGGCTGGAATTACAGAAATTATGGTTCATCCACAGGTTATACAGCTAGTTCGCCATTAACAATGACTTTATGAATACTAACTAATAAAAATCCCAGACATAACAGTAAGAAATGAGAATATTTTTCAAATTGCTATGTTTTGTCATTCCTTAATAACTGGAAGACCGTAAACTGATGTGCTAACATATGAGAAACTTGTATTGTCCTAAAGTCTTTGAGAGAAGAGTTAGAAAATAGTAGATGCACAACATGTGACCAAAAACCATCTTAAGAAATCAGAACTCATAATAGGAAATGTTTACAAATATAATCATGTAAAACCAAAAAGAATCACATAAAGCGTAAAGCAACAAAAGTGAAAAGACTAATAGCATCCGAAAGTATCCCAGGAAATAACTTTTGGCTCTAACTCATAGCAGTAGTCTCACTAATAACACGTTACTACTCACTGTCTTCAACAAAGGATGTCCTACTCTTGGACAAAAAACTAGATGAGGGAGGGTGTAGCACTTCTTCATGTAATAGAGTTGGGGCTTTTTTGGACTGCATTTGGTTATGGCCTTCGGCACCTAGAAAAGAAAATATTAAAAAGAATTTTTTTACTGCCGAATGATTTACTAAAAACCAAGAATTTTGTATCCAGAGGATATAAATCTCAGGAATGACGTAATCCTAGAACTATGTTGGTCTGATTGTTCAAACTACCCATTACTTTTAATAACCACCAGAGAGTAAGATCTAGTTCTATAGCCCAGAACCATTTACACAAATTAAAAACAAAGCTTCACATCACATTGCTTCACTTTAGAAAAATAGGTGCCACAAAAACAGACACATAGATCAAAAGAACAGAAAAGAGAGCCCAGAAATAAACCCCATGCTTATATGGTCAATTAATCTACAACAAAGGAGGTAAGAATATACAATGGGGAAAGGATAGTCTCTTCAATAAACGATGGTAGGAAAACTGGACAGCTGTATGCAAAAGAATGAAACACCATACACAAAAATTACCTCAAAATGGATTAAACAACTAAGTGTGAGACATGAAGCCAAAATTCCCAGAAGAAAGCATATGCAGTAATCTCTTTGACATCAGCCTTAGCAAGTTTTCTGATAGGTCTCCTCAGGCAAGGGAAACAAAAGCAAAAAACAAACTATTGGGATTACACTAAAATAAAAACTTTCTGCACAGCAAAGGAAACCATCAACAAAATAAAAAGACAAACTACTGAACAGGAGAAGATATCTGCAGATGATATATCTTATAAAAGATTAATATCCACAATATATAAAGAACTTTATAACTCAACATCAAAATCCCAAAAAAATCCAATTAAAAAATAGGCATAGGACCTGAATAGATGCTTTTCCAAAGAAAACATACAGATGGCCAACAGACACAAGAAAAGGTGCTCAATATCACTAATCATCAAGGGAAATACATATCAAAATTACAATGAGCTATCACTTTATACCTGTTAGAAAGGCTTGAATCAAAAAGACAAAAAATAAGTGTTGGCAAAGATGTGGAGAAAAAGGACCTCTTGTGCACTGCTGGTGGAAATGTAAATTGGTACAGCCACTATGGAAAATAGTATGAGCGTTCCTCAAAAAATAAATAAATAAAAACAGAAATCCCTTATGTTCCAGTAATTCCACTACTGCATATTTACTCCCAAGAAAACAATAACACTAACTTGAAAAGATGTATGCACCCATATTTACTGCAGTATTTACAATAGCCAAATATGGAAACAAACCCACTGTCCATTGATAAATGAAGGAATAAAGATGTGGCACGCGTATACACACACACACACACACACACACACACACACACACACACACAGAGGAGTATTAGTCATAAAAAATGAGATCTTGCCTGGGAATGCAAGCTGGTGCAGCCACTCCGGAAAACAGGATGGAGGTTCCTCAAAAAACTAAAAATAGAACTACCCTACGACCCAGCAATTGCACTACTAAGCATTGATCCACGGGATACAGGTGTGCTTTTTCAAAGGGACACATGCACCCCCAGGTTTATAGCAGCACTATCAACAACAGCCAAAGTATGGAAAGAGCCCAAATGTCCATCGATGGATGAATAAAGAAGATGAGGTATATATACACAATGGAGTATTACTCGGCAATCAAAAAGAATGAAATCTTGCCATTTGCAACTACGTGGATGGAACTGGAGGATATTATGCTAAGCAAAATTAATCAGAGAAAGACAAATATCATATGACTTCACTCATATGAGGACTTTAAGAGACAAACAGATAACATAAGGGAAGGGAAGCAAAAATAATATAAAAACAGGGAGGGGGACAAAGCATAAGAGACTCATAAATGTGGAGAACAAACAGAGGATTACCGGAGGGGGTGTAGAAGGGGGGATGGGCTAAATGGGTAAGGGGCATTAAGGAATATACTCCTGAAATCATTGTTGCACTATACGCTAACTAATTTGGATGTAAATTAAAAAAATAAAATAAAAAAAAAAGGAGAGCTTGCTATTTACAACATGGGTAGACTTACAGAGTATCACACTAAGTGAAATAAGTCAGAGAAAGACAAATACCATATGATTTCACTTATATATGGAATCCAAAAAACAAAGCAAAAGAACAAACAGAAAAAGAAGAAAAAGATGCATAAATACAGAGAACTGATGGTTTCTATACAGGAAGTAGTAGGGGGATGGGCAAAATGGGTAAAGAGGAGTGGGAGGCACACAGGCTTCCAGTTATGGACTGAAAAGTCCCAGGGATGAAAGGAACCTCATAGGGAATATAGTCAACAGAATTAATAATAATGTATGGTGACAAATGGTAACTATACTTGGGGTGAGCATAGCGTAACATATATAGTTGTCAAATCACTATGTTGTACACCTGAAACTAATGTAATATTGTGTCAACTATACTTCAATTAAAAAAAAATCAAAATAACAAAAAAAAAAAAGGAAAAATATTCCATGCTCCTGGATAGGAAAAACAAATATTGTTAAAATGTCAATACTACCCAAGGCAATTTACATATTCCACGCAATCCCTATCAAAGTAACACCAGCATTCTTCACAGAGCTAGAGCAAACAATCCTACAATCTGTATGGAAACAGAAAAAACCCCAGAGAGCCAAAGCAATCTTGAAAAAGAAAACCAAAGCTACAGGCATCACAATCCCGGACTTCAAGCTGTACTACAAAGCTGTAATCATCAAGACAGTATGGTACTGGCACAAAAACAGACACTCAGATCAAGTCAACAGAACAGAGAATCCAGGAATGGACCCACAAACGTATGGCCAACTCATCTTCGACAAAGCAGGAAAAGAATATCCAATGGCATAAGGACAGTCTCTTCAACAAATGGTGCTGGGAAAACAGGACAGCGACATGCAGAAGAATGAACCTGGACCACTTTCTTACACCAGACACAAAAATAAACTCAAAATGGATGAAAGACCTCAATGTAAGGCAGGAAGCCATCAAAATCCTCGAGGAGAAAGCAGGCAAAAACCTCCTTGATCTTGGCCACAGCAACTTCTTACTCAACACGTCTCCAGAGGCAAGGGAAACAAAAGCAAAAATGAACTATTGGGACCTCATCAAAATAAAAGCCTTCTGCACAGCGAAGGAAACAATCTGCAAGACTAAAAGGCAACCGACGGAGTGGGAGAAGATATTTGCAAATGACACATCAGATAAAGGGTTAGTATCCAAAATCTATAAAGAACTTATCAAACTCAACACCCAAAACACAAATAATCCAGTGAAGAAATGGGCAAAAGACATGAATAGACACTTCTCCAAAGAAGACATCCAGATGGCCAACTGACACATGAAAAAATGCTCAACATCACTCATTATCAGGGAAATACAAATCAAAATCACAATGAGATACCACCCCACACCTGTCAGAATGGCTAACATTAACAACTCAGGCAACAACAGATGTTGGTGAGGATGTGGACAAAGAGGATCTCTTCTGCACTGCTGGTGGGAATGCAAACTGGTGAGCCCACTCTGGAAAACAGTATGGAGGTTCCTCAAAAATTGAAAATGGAACTACCCTAGACCCAGCAATTGCACTACTAGATATTTATCCAAGGGATACAGGTGTGGTGTTTCAAAGGGGCACATGCACCCCAATGTTTATAGCAGCGCTATTGACAATAGCCAAAGTATGGAAAGAGCCCACATGTCCACTGATGGATAAATGGATACAGAAGATGTGGTGTATATATATACAATGGAGTATTACTTGGGAATCAAAAAGAATGAAATCTTGCCATTTGCAACTATGTGGACGGAACTAGAGGGTATTATGCTAAGCAAAATTAGTCAGAGACAAATCTCATATGACTTCACTCATATGAGGGCTTTAAGACACAAAACAGATGAACATAAGGGAAGGGAAGCAAAAATAATATAGAAACAGGGAGGGGGCCAAAACATAAGAGACTCTTAAATATGGAGAACAAACAGACGGTTACTAGAGGGGCTGTGGGAGGACGATGGGGTAAATGGGTAAGGGGCATTAAGGAATCTACTCCTGAAGTAACTGTTGCACTATATGCTAAATAATTTGGATATAAATTTAAAAAAATTTTTTTTAATTAAAAAAAAGAAAACCACATAGATCGCCCTGCAAAAAAAAAAAAAAAAAAAAAAAAAGCAAAATAAAATTACTCATATGCCTTGCCTGCTTCAGATTCTGTGCCCCGCCCCTCCACCCCACCCCTGCTTGTGCTGTCTCTTTCAAAAATGAATAAACATTAAAAAATTTTTTTCTTAATGTTTATTTATTTTTGAGAGAAAGAGTTAGAGAAACAGAGACCATGACTGGGGGAGGGGGAGAGAGAGAGAGACACACACACACAGATTCTGAATCAGGCTCCAGGCTCTGTGCTGTCAACACAGAGACCGATGGGGGGCTCGAACCCACGAATGGTGAGATCATGACCCAAATGGAAGTCAGACACTTAACCAACTGAGCCACCCAGGTGCCCCACTGTATGACTGTATTTTAAAAGAACATATGTGAGGGGCGCCTGGGTGGCTCAGTCAGTTGGGCATCTGACTTCAGCTCAGGTCACGATCTCACTGCTCGTGGGTTTGAGCCTTATGTCGGGCTCTGTGCTGACAGCTCAGAGCCTGGAGCCTTTCTCTGATTCTGTGTCTCCCTCTGTCTCTGCCTGCCCCTCTCCTGCTCACACACTGTCACTTTCTCTCAAAAATAAATAAACTTTAAAAACAAATAAAAAAGAACATATGCGATGCACATTTGCATATCCATAAGTAAAGAAATCAAAATGTTAACGGTGATTTTCTCTAGGTCAGAGGTTGGCAAACTATGGCCCAACGTCCAAATCTGACTCACCAACTACTGTTTTTGTAAATAAAATGTGTGTGTGTGTTTTAAGATTTTATTTTTAAGCAATCTCTACATTCATCATGAGGCTCAAACTCAAGACTCTGAGATCAAGAGTTGCATGCTGTACCGACTAAGCTAGCCAGGTGTGCCTAGCTTGTGTTTTACTGGAATATACTCGTACAAATAGGTGCGAGAATTGTAGAAATGCTGTTCTGTGGGTATATCTCTGAGCTACGAATCCTGGTTGATACCATAATAAAAAATTTATAGGTCAAATTGTTTTGTCTAACTTTTGAATGCTTAATATTTAATCAGCTTTATAATGTTATTACATAGAGAGCTGTACTAAAATAGTTCTGAAATTGAGGGAATATCCACTTTGCTCCCTTAGAAATCTACAATACATAAACTTCCCACAAACAAAACAGACTTATGACTCCTCCTCTACAAATGACTATTTATCCCTTCTTCAATTTAATGAAAGACTTCACCATAAACTTACTCCTCACTTTGAAGGTATGAGAATGTATCCTGAAAACTCAGTTACTAAAGTGGTTAACTGACATAATCACACTAAAAATGGAAAATTCACCTTGCACAAACTCCAAGCAACGTATTTCAAGACACTGCATATTTTAAAATGTCTGACGTTCATTTGATGTCTCTTAAAATCCAGCAAACACATCTTTTTATGCTCTCCTTTTCCACAACCCAGAGCAACAGGGCCATTTTCACATCAACATGTTTAAAATATGTGAGTCTCACTCCATAACTTCATATTTTACACGAAGAGCATCTAAGATCTAATACTCAAAATTCATAACGTGGTCCACAATTTCTCTACTACCTAAACTAAATTTGTCATCAACTTGACTCCAGGCTAATTCATTTTTACCTGAGTCCATTTTTTCTTCAGTTTCTTGGATGACAAAGAAACTCATATGCTGTTTCTTTTTGATAAAATTTCTCCAAAATTTCATGCTTAGTTAACATTTGGCACTTTTAATTTGTCAGACTGAAAGTGACACACTCAAATTTCCTTATAATTTTTAGGCTGTTTTAGGATACACTGTTTTATTACTGAAAAGTCTCTGGACTTGTCTACTGCAAGCATTAATAAGCATCTATAGGGGCGCCTGGGTGGCGCAGTCGGTTGAGTGTCCGACTTCAGCCAGGTCACGATCTCGCGGTCTGTGGGTTCGAGCCCCGCGTCGGGCTCTGGGCTGATGGCTCAGAGCCTGGAGCCTGTTTCCCATTCTGTGTCTCCCTCTCTCTCTGCCCCTCCCCCGTTCATGCTCTGTCTCTCTCTGTCCCAAAAATAAAATAAACGTTGAAAAAAAAATTAAAAAAAAAAAAAAGCATCTATAATAAACATATATGACATTTCATAAATAAGGGGGAACCCTGGGTAGGAAAAAATGGGTGAAGATGGTCAAAAGGTACAAATTTCCAGTTAAGTCATGGGAATAAAATATATAGCATGACTATAATTAATACTATAAGTTGCTAAGAGAATAGATCTTAACAGTTGTCATCACTATCTATGGTGACAAATATTAACTAGATTTTTATTGGGACAGTCATTTCACAACACATGTAAACATAAAATCTATAGATTGTATATCTGAAACTAACATAATGTTACATGTTCATTATATCTCAATTAAAAAAATAAAATTCATAGCCCAGAAATTGAAGCCTAAGTTAGATGCCTATGAATGTATACGATGACAGTTATCTGATGACTTAAATCCAAATATAAAAGGAAGTTACCATAGCCCTTAATGACACCAAACCAAAACACCTCAGCCTGGCTTTTCTTTCAACCTTTTCTCTTTTGCCTTAACTGCATTATAACCCGAATAGTTAAAATCTGAAAACAACTCACTTCTTACAGATGCAACCTTTCTACACGGTAGTTGCTATCACAGAACACCATTTCTAAAATCATAGTCCCTTCCATCTTCTGTCAATCCACCTGACTCTCTTCCTTCAAGAAGCATTCTTTTGTTACTTTCAATTGACTCTGGTCATTCTGTTACTTCGCTCATCCCACTGGCAAGTACATGCCTTTAGTCTACTGTCTAACCTTCCATATTGAGGTTTTTTGAACATTAATTCCTTGGATTTCAATGTCTATTCTTTGGAACCAAAGTACTAATGCTCAAAGGGATTTCTCAGATGGTTTTGCTGAATTCTCCAATTTCACATGTTAAGAAACGGGCTCAGGAAAGACAAGGGCCTTGTCCAAAGTCACATAGCCAGTAGCAGAGTCTGGATGAGAATGTGGCCACTGGATTCCCAATTTAATATACTTAATGCCTATCCAGCATTCCTGTTCTTCCATTAAAAAAATACAAACCACGACTTATTTTGGGCTTGGTGTTTTGAGAAGCTCTAAAATACTAAGATGAATATGAATAATTTTACTATGTATTTCACTTACTTGTCTTAGTGATTGGCTGCCTCCCCAAGCAGAATACAAGTTCCATGAGGGAAGGGATTGGTGTCTATTTTGTTAACCACTATAACACCACTGCGTGGCACAGGGAAAGCACTAAATATTTGCTGAATGAGTCTGGTGTGGCTACTGTCCCTGGAACTCACAGTGTATAAAACAAACATACTCAAAATTACTATACAATGTGAGAATAGTATTACCAAAATAAGATGAGAAGGCCACAGTGTAGAAATAGAGCCTCAGAATCTAGGCATGTGGGGGAGGCTGGGCTTTGTAGGGTGAATTTGCCAGGAATAGAGATGAAGAAAGAGCACCCCAGCAGAAGAAACAACATGAAGGCAGAAAAGAGCATGACAACTAAGGTAGGCAGGACAGGAAGTGGGATGAAGGACAGCAAGGTACGAGGCTCAAAATGGGCCTCAAAGATATTCAGGCTTACTGTGTATGAGCAGCAGACTCTTGGAAATGTAACCTGATGCCTGGAAGAAGAACTGCCACTGGATATACTGACTTGTTGTTTGAAACCATGAAAAGAGTGAGTCATCCAGTTTAGGAAAACTATACTTAGGGGGTAATCTGAAGTGAGTAGACTATCAAGTTGCATTCAGAAATCTCTTCTCAGGGTATCAGGTCCCACATATTATATGACAAACTTGCTCATGTGCCTATAACTCCTACTTGTTTGATTTCAGGTAACTGTTCATATTTAGGTTAATCATGGTATACTCTGGAAATTCAATTCTAAGGTCGAGTTACAACTCTCTCTATTCTTCTCAACTGTAAACATTCCTAAGAATAACTATTTTTATTTTCATAGTTGTATGCTGAATAACAGGTATCTGAAGTTTACTTACCATTACTTCTTAGAGAAAAGGTGTGTGCTGTGTCTCCGAGTCTAATTACTTCACCAGTGGATTCTGTTTCATCTCCATCCCAAGAGGGGCCCAAAGCCTCAGATGACAAGGAGCACCTGAAAGAATTCCCTTACTTACTTGGGCCCAGCCTAACCAGAGGGCCCCTCCTGACAAAAGCTGCTTTAAACAGCCTGCCTATGAGTATTCAGACTGCTCATTGCTACGTGCAGAAAAAGGGCAAGACACTCCCTTCTGTTGCTTATCACTTTTTGGTGTTTATCTGTTTTAACTCATACAACGTATGGTAGAAATAGCCGTGTAGAAAGTGTCAAGGATTAAATGCATAGGAGAATACACACAGAGAACAATAAACATTGGATACTCTACGGGTGTGGGGGTGGAATCTGGGTAGGGTATGAATTTTGCATTAAATATCCTTGCATTGTTTCACTTTTGCGCTGTAAAAAAAATCTAATAATAAAAAATAAAGTCAAGAAATTCATCTCATGGTGGTCTCCTTTAAGACAGGTTTTCCACAATGTACTATACCTAAACAGGAAGATATTGCCTGTGTCTTTCAAATCATGCCAAATTCCATAAAAAAAATGGGAAGTCATACATTTAAGTCATAGCATTATGTTCAACCCGTAGGTAGAACTACCATCAAATCTGTAATGACATTATATTTTGTCTATAAAAGTTGCAGGTATTTTAAAACTCTGATATTTGTTCATGAGTTAATGTTACTGACTCATGAGGATACAGTAACGAGCAATTTTATACTGCCAGTGAGCGTATAAACTGTCATGGCCTTTTTGGAAAGCAGTCTGGCAACTTTTAATAGGCTTATAACATTCATACTCCTTGGATGTAGCTTAAAGAGCAAACAAAAGCATGTATCACATTTTCAAAAACTATAAAAAAACCCAGAAACATCCACCTCCACTTTAGAGGAGTGGTTTAGCCCATTGTGAAGCACCTATATGGTCTGTTATACAGGGATTAAAAATTACTACAAAGAATTTAACAACTCGGAAAAAGACTTGATATGTAAAATTTTTAAATGCGGGAAACAAAACTATGTAAACAATATGACTAAATTAAAAAAAAAAACCAAAACATTATAAAAAAGACTCAAGTAAAACATTAACAAGCCTTTGTTTAGTTCTGAATGGTAGAGCTCATCTTTTTTTTTTTTCACTTGTTTTTTATTTCTTCCTACTTTCCAAGATTTCTACAGGGAACATAAACTATTTTGATGACCAAGGGAAAAATAAAAAAAAATATGCAGGTGCACTTAACCAACTAAGCCACCCAGGTGCCCCACTAAAGACGTATTTTGGAAAGGGGCACCTGGGTGGCTCAGTCAGTTAAGCATCTGACTCCAGCTAAGGTCATGACCTCACTGCTCATGAGTTTGAGCCCTGCGTTGGGCTCTGTGCTGACAGCTCAGAGCCTGGAGCCTGCTTCCAATTCTGCATCTTCCTTTCTCTGGCCCTCTCCCACTCACGCTCCCTTTTCTCTCAACAATAAATAAATGTTTAAAAAAAAAATTTTTTTTTAAAAAAGATGTATTTTGGAATAAAAGAACTAACTAGGAAGAAGAAAATACACAGGTGTTTAATACTGAGACTTAAGTATTACATATAGCTCAAGATTCTTAAAATTCCGTCAGGGAGATTTAAAATATGAGAAGGTACTGAGATTTTCCCATCAGTTTGTTTTGTTTTTTGCTGCCATTGTGGTATATTGTGTGCCAATTCTTAGAAGGAAAAAGCATAACTTGTTTTGATTAAATTCATAGACACTGAGTGCTACCTCCCAAAAGAAACCTTTTTCCATGATGATTTGGATGCCTTAGTACTTTCTGGCTCTTCTAAAGGTTCTCCTTGATGGAATTCTTTAAAACTCTGTCCAGTTTCACCTGTTTAGAATAGATAAAAACAACACCAAAAAACCTCTCAATTAATAATGCTATTTTTATATGGGGGTGGGTAGAGGTGAGAACAGTTAAGCACCCTCATCTTCTCCTGGTAAACTGGGCTTTTGTGAACACGAAATTAGAAAGAACCAAATTATCACCTGTGAAGACCATGTATTACTTGGGTAACAGAAGCAAGATAAATGCTGCTTTAAAAGCAAGGTCTACAGTTGTACTAGCAATGTTTTATTTTTTAAGATAGGTGGTAGGTTTATTTTTTATTGTTTATAACCTCCCTGTTCAGTAAGGGATGTCTGAAGCAAGAGGACTAGGCTGTGGCTTCAGAACACAACTGTGAGCCTCAAGCTCCAAGACTATCCCTCCCAGGCTAAGAGTCAGAGTACATCAAAGCTTGGCTGAAGTTCTCTTTCAGACTATCACTCCTTTTTCAACTCAACATGTCTGAGGAATACACTTTCGCCAGCAGCAACACACTAGGGAACTGATTTCAGGAGGTACGTGGGTGAAACTTCCTATGATTCAGATTGACGCCTCTGAATATTCCCATCCCCATTTCTAGAGATTTCTCTATTTGAGCATCTACCTTCATTTTTTTCTATTTCTGTATTCAAAATAACCAACACTGTAATAACATTAGTTAACATTCACTGAGCAGTGACTCGGAGCTAGGCTTGGAACTAAACTATTTATATATCTACTTACTCAACCATCACTATAGCCATGGAAGAATTTCAAATGAAAACACTGAGGCTTAGAGAGCTTCAAACAATGAGAGGCAGAACTTAGCATTGACGCAAAGTCTGCTTTCAAATCCCTGTTCTTCAGTGGTAAGTTAATGATAATGCTAGCTCAGGTACCAGGAAAAAGCTGCTCTGTACATGATGTGACTCATGATAATAAAGATTGACTTCCCATTATTAACTGGCATTTTGAAGAATCTGATTAGCTCTAGGTAATACTGCCATATCAACTTGGACCTGCAAAGGTGAGAATCACACTTCAGAAAACACCACCCAACCACAGTACTACTGCACTGGGAGGTCCCACCTCTGCAACCCCCTCCTAGCAGCACTAAGCTCACCACATTCTACTGACCTCCCCTGGAAATCTCCCTCCCGCATGCCCTGCCTCCACGTCTCACTATTACCAGACTCACATTTAAGTATCTCTCAGTTCTGCCCTCCTCTCGCCATCCCCACTGCCCTACTCATGGTAAAGCCACTACCATTCCTCTTCTACCTGCAATCAAGCACTACATTGTAAAAACTGCTGCTGTTAGTGTAAAACTTCAAATTAATCAATTTCCACCAAAGGTAGTTTTCCATCTCTTAATCTTGTTGCTAAAATGGTTAAAGCCACCAAGCCTCAAAATACCTACTAAGTAGCCTTGAATTAGGTAAATTTCACATGTCTTTCACTCTCCCCCAATTCTCCTATAATGGTTTTTATTGTTTAACACTCCCCCCCCCCCCCAGCCGAGGGATACGTTCCAAGACCCCCAGAGGATGCCTGAAACCACAGATAAGATTAAACCTATATATACTATGTTTTTTTCCTATACATACATATGATAAAGTTTAACTTCTAGATTAGCACATTAAGATAAGCAATAGCTAATAATAAAATAGAACGATTATAACAACATACTATAACAAAAGTTATAGAAACGTGGTCTGTCAAACTATCTTATTGTACTGTACTCACCTGCTTCTTGTGATGATGTGGGATGATAAGATGCCTACGTGATGAGACAAAGTGAGCTGAATGACACAGGCATTGTGATGTAGCATTAGGCTATTAATGACCGACCTTCTGACAATACCTCAGGAGGATCATCTGCTTCTGGACCAAGGGGGACTGCGAGTGGAAAGCAAAACTGCATCTAGGGGGACTACTGTATGCAGTTATGGCTGTCTTCCTGACTTAAGTCAGAAACTTAGGTTTCTTTGAGAGCAACAGAACATGGCATGCAATTATGAATCCTCCCAGCGTACCGAGGCTGGTACATATTTAACAGATATTAAACACTCAAAACACTCCACACTCAGAACACTCAAGTGTTTGAAATAAGAAATATCCCCTGTGGCAGTTTTTCCCTCCAGGCCAGACCTACATATGCCTTTAAATCTTTTCAGCAACGATAAAAGGTAGAAAACTATCACTAAAGAGTTTAAGGTCAGATGTTATCACAACCACGTGAGAAGTAGGAACGATGAGCCTACCCACATTTTTTTGTCTTCATTCATATCAGAATTTATGTTGTTTGTTATTGCTGCTGAAAACTTGTTGGATAACTTTTTGGAGAACTGGATTACTCAAAGGCTAAAATAAAACTTTCAGGCTGTCACAAACCTAAACATAGGTTAAAGACAAAAACACTCCAATTCCTCCTGTTAATGCTTTAGCAATATCCAAATTTATAACAAAAATGGCAGTTCTGACAGGAAATTTTGGAATAAGTCATTTCATGCAATAATAGGACAGTAAGCAACTTTAATCAGAACTTTTTATAGATTAGCACATCCAAACTGACAAAGGACATGATGATAGTCTAAGATAGTTTTTTCCAACCGCTTAGAAGAGTTAAGAAGTGAGATTTAATTTACCAGGTATATGCATTAGTTATTCAAATTACAATTTTAAAACTTACTTTTTTCGTGAGATGTCTCACTGATGTGTTCTGTAAGATACTCCAGCAACCCATCAAAGATTTCTAGCAGATTCTTAATAGATTCTTTATCTCCCTTCACTATATTTTCTCCTAAACACAGGATAAAAGGCTATTAAAAATATTAACGAAGAAACTAAAAGTCTCAAAGTTTCAAAACAAATATACCACTGTGTAAATACTGTTCAGATAAAAGAATTACAAACTAATTCAGGAAAACGAATAATATTATAAATATTAGAAACATGAATGTCTTGGGGCGCCTGGGTGGCGCAGTCGGTTAAGCGTCCGACTTCAGCCAGGTCACGATCTCGCGGTCCGTGAGTTCGAGCCCTGCGTCGGGCTCTGGGCTGATGGCTCGGAGCCTGGAGCCTGTTTCCGATTCTGTGTCTCCCTCTCTCTCTGCCCCTCCCCCGTTCATGCTCTGTCTCTCTCTGTCCCAAAAATAAATAAAAAACGTTGAAAAAAAAATAAAAAAAAAAAAAAATAAAAACATGAATGTCTTGATACCTAATTATATTTGAAGAAACAAAGGAAGCAGTCTTGAATATAATGTTTGGTAATTAATTAGCATATTCCTTCCTTTACCAAGAAACAAAATAAGTAGACTTAATAAAACATCCTCTGGTAAGATTTATACCAAGATATAAAGTATCTAAGCAGAACTTTTTTAGGCTGGTGAAAAAAAATGGCAGGAGGCAACACAGTTTCAGATCGTGGGATCCTACTTCTAGATGGTGGTTTGCTCTGAAGATAACAGCAGTAGAGTAACATAAAAACAAAGAACTTGTTGGTATACTTTCATCAGGAATTCCTCATTTTTTCTATTTGTTAACTCCTATTCATTTTATATAGGTCATGTCATTTTTCTTAGTTTAAAAACTGCCTATGTGGGATGCCTGGGTGGCTCAATTAGTTAAGTGTCTGACTCTTGACTTCAGCTCAGGTCATGATCCCAGGGTCGTGGGATCGAGCACCGGGCGGCCGTGGGCCCGAGGGCCATGTCAGGAGTGGAACCTGCTTGAGATTCTCTCTCCCTCTCCTTACGCCCCTCCCCTGCTCAGACCCAGGTGCTCTCGCTCTCTCTCTCAAAAAATAAATAAAATACTAATTTAAAAAACTTGTCCATTCATACAAATTTCCAATTTATACAGCTTTGTATACAGTTTGTATAACTTCCAGTTATAAATCAGAGATGAAAAATAAGGCATAGGGAATAACATCAATAACATTGTAATAGCGTTGTAAGGTAGTGGTTGATTACTATACTTATTACAGTGAGCACTGTGTAATATATAGAACTGTCCAATCACTATGTTGTACATCTGAAACTAATATAATTTCATATGTCAACTAAACTTCAATAATAAATTTTCTTAAAAACACTGGCCATGCACGTAAAACTTTTTAATCTCACCTCAGTCCCAACTTCTCCAGCCTCACCTCCCACCACATCCACTTTACACCCAGGAGTTACTCTTTACACAATTCCTGGCACAATACTTGTCTCATAATAAATTTTTAATACATGCTAAATTGATATGTTGACAAGAAATGGGTTGGTAAAAGCATGGAAACTTAGCATGCTTAGTATCACCTAAAATGGACTCTAATCAACATCAGGTATGGATGGAATGTAACTCTTGAGACACCTGGGTTGTCCTTTGGGAGGTCACGCCTGCATTCTCTTAAGTTCAAACCAGTAAGGGAAAGACACAATGGAAACTCGATATTTGAGAGAATCTAGCCATTCAAAATTTCACTCCTGATGCAAAACAAACCTAAACCAGAAATATGATGTTTTACAAAATTACCAATACAGATAGACAGTATTTGACAATTTTTTTTTTTTTTTTTTTTTTTTGGTTTAAAGCAAACAAATCTTCTTAAGCCTTGTTTTCCTGGCTTAACGAGATACACAAGTATACCCCAAGGGCATACTCAGAACTTCTCAGTTGCCAGGATGGGGAGCATCCTCTGCCAACCCAGCAACTAAGACCGCCCACCAAAATGCAGTGCTTCATGGCACAGAAGAAAGTATTTTAAACTGAACAAGAACACAAGGAGTAAAAAGCTGCTCTGCAGTATACTGGAGGAGATAAGCAGTTCTGCAACTTTTCATGGGGTGGGTGAGAGTTGTTAGGAGCAGCTCTGCATTAAAAAGTTACATAAGCAGATACAACTATGCTATAGGTTTAAAAAGCACAAATACCAGAAATTACCCTATTCAAGTGATAAAGCAATTCCGAATTGCAAAAGAACAGGAAAACCCTGGGATTATCCTTCAAAATGAATTATCTTCAAACTAATTTACCATTTTTACTCCTTGAACTGCACTCAAAACTTAAGACAGAGTATTTTTGCAAAACTTGTCGTCAACATCACATTGAAAGATGTGAGTGACCAATCCTGATTAACATTTAACTGCCCAAGAACAAACCAATGGTGTAAGCCTTCTCTAAGTGATTCAAATGTAGGTTCATATGCACAGATTCCCTCTTTTACTTAGCTTGAAATAATTTACTGGAATAATCCTCATTTTCTATCTAGAATACAGGGATTTACAAATATATTTATATTTGGTATGTTTGGCTTTAGAATACAAGCATGATATACTCTATTTTGGAAAAAGTTTCAAAAACAATTTACAGTTTTATTTTGAATAGAGAAAATATTCATGAGGCTTAAAATTCAGGGGCGCCTGGGTGGCTCAGCTGGTTGAGCATCCGACTCTTGATTTCAGCTCAGGTCATGATCTCACAGTTTGTGGGATGGAGCACCATGCCGGGCTCTGCACTGACAGTGTGGTCTCTTTGGGATTCTCTCTCTCTCTCTCTGCCTGTCCCCCATTCATGCACTCTTTCTCTCAAAATAAATAAATAAACTTTAAAAAAACAAAATAAAATTCAAGAAGTATAGAAGTTATATAATGAAGTCTCATCCCACCCTCGTCCTTCCTGCAGCCCTGAAGTTCCTCTTACTGGAAGCAACTGGCATTACAGGTTTCTTGCACATGCTTTCAAAGAGTCCTTCTGCAAGCAATCAACTGCATATTTCCTCTCCTTACCTTTGTTTTTATAAGCAGCACCCTACTCTGCACATTATCATTGTTAAGTGCACATCTTTCTGACATTACACATATTGGAGACTGTTCCACTAATATGGAACATTGTACATAATGAGCATCATCAATCATCTTTTACAGTAGCAGAGTAATTCCCTGCATGGAGCTATCATAACTTATTTAGCCTGTCCCTATTTAATGGATATTTAGATGTAGCTAATTCTTAGCTACTACAAACAAGCAGCATGTTAGCTTTAAAATAACAAAATAACAAAAAACATACCTTTAACTACCAGCCAGAATTCTTACATCTCAGACTCAGGTCCATCATAAATTCAATGTTTGACTCTCCTAAAAAAGCTCTCAAGAATGGCTGCCTTAACTCTACCAGTCAATTTGTCTTGGCTCAGTCTTGCCACTTGGTTTATATCATAAGCTTACTCATTTGGTTAACTAAACAATGTCTAGGATTCTACCCAACAAATTATTTTAGTCAAATGCAAAATTATCTGATGGTTAAGTATACACCGACCTGTTATGTGAGACAAGCTGACTTGCAGGTAATCCAAGGCCAGGGAATCAATTACTGCTTGTACATTGTGAGCTTCATCCTCTTGACTCCTGGGAATAGCTATGAGGTCTGTGGAAAAAAGGCTACACATTTTTCATCTGAGGGTCCAAGTTTTCATCTGTCTCTGACCAGGCTTCTGAGTCAGGTTAAGTGCTACAAAAGTAAGCTCTACCCAAACAGAACAGGCTATAAAATTCAGATAAAGCTAACAGAGCCTGAATTCCACACAGCACCTTTAGTGGTTGAATACTTAGTCAATCGACATATATATGAACATGCTCTACAATAAGCACCATGCTACAGAAAGATAAAGAGGTCCCTAAATTCAAGGAGGTGCTAATACTCTAGTAAGGGAAACAATAATGGAGTGAGACTTTAACCCATAATCATGGGCTGCTTTCCATGAGAGGAAAAAAACCCCACAACCTTCTGAAGGTAACCTAGTAGGAATTAATGGCATAATGATTTAAAAGGTCAGTATATAAGGGTGTCTGGGTGGCTTAGTTGGTTAAACATCTGACTCTTAATTTTGGTTCAGGTCATGATCTCAGGGCTTCTGAGATGGCATGGAGCCTGCTTAGGATTCTCTCTCCCTTGTTCTCTCTCTGTCCCTCCCCCACTCATACACACACTCTCTAAATAAAAATAGAGGCCCCTGGGTGGCTCAGGTGGTTAAGTGTCCAACTCTTGATTCTGGCTCAGGTCATGATCTCACAGTTCCTGGGATTGAGCCCTGAATCAGGCTCCATGCTGACAGCATGGAGCCTGTCTCTCTGCCCCTCACCGTGCATGCTCTCAAATAAATAAACTTGCACCAAAAACCATAAAATACCTAGTAACAAATCTAACCAAAGACATGAAAAATCTATACACTGAAAACTACAGAAAGCTTATGAAAGAAATTGAAGAAGACACAAAAAAATGAAAAAATATTCCATACTCCTGGATAGGAAGAACAAATATCGTTAAATGTCAATACTACCCAAGGCAATTTACATATTCCATGCAATCCCTATCAAAGTAACACCAGCATTCTTCACAGAGCTAGAACAAACAATCCTACAATCTGTATGGAAACAGAAAAGACCCCAGAGAGCCAAAGCAATCTTGAAAAAGAAAACCAAAGCTACAGGTATCACAATCCCGGACTTCAAGCTGTACTACAAAGCTGTAATCATCAAGACAGTATGGTACTGGCACAAAAACAGACACTCAGATCAAGTCAACAGAACAGAGAATCCAGGAATGGACCCACAAACGTATGGCCAACTCATCTTCGACAAAGCAGGAAAAGAATATCCAATGGCATAAGGACAGTCTCTTCAACAAATGGTGCTGGGGAAACAGGACAGCGACATGCAGAAGAATGAACCTGGACCACTTTCTTACACCAGACACAAAAATAAACTCAAAATGGATGAAAGACCTCAATGTAAGACAGGAAGCCATCAAAATCCTCGAGGAGAAAGCAGGCAAAAACCTCCTTGATCTTGGCCACAGCAACTTCTTACTCAACACGTCTCCAGAGGCAAGGGAAACAAAAGCAAAAATGAACTATTGGGACCTCATCAAAATAAAAGCCTTCTGCACAGCGAAGGAAACAATCTGCAAGACTAAAAGGCAACCGACGGAGTGGGAGAAGATATTTGCAAATGACACATCAGATAAAGGGTTAGTATCCAAAATCTATAAAGAACTTATCAAACTCAACACCCAAAACACAAATAATCCAGTGAAGAAATGGGCAAAAGACATGAATAGACACTCCTCCAAAGAAGACATCCAGATGGCCAACTGACACATGAAAAAATGCTCAACATCACTCATCATCAGGGACATACAAATCAAAACCACAATGAGATACTCCTTCACACCTGTCAGAATGGCTAACGTTAACAACTCAGGCAACAACAGATGTTAGCAAGGATGTGGACAAAGAGGATCTCTTCTGCACTGCTGGTGGGCATGCAAACTGGTGAGCCCACTCTGGAAAACAGTATGGAGGTTCCTCAAAAAATTAAAAATAGAACTACCTTACGATCGAGCAATTGTGCTACTAGATATTTATCCAAGGGATACAGGTGTGGTGTTTCAAAGGGGCACATGCACCCCAACGTTTATAGCAGCACTATCAACAATGGCCAAAGTGTAGAAACAGCCCAAATGTCTATCAACAGATGGATAAAGAAAATGTGGTGTATATATACATATGGTGTATGTGTACATATATATATCTATGTATACATACAAACGGGTATTACTCAGCAATCAAAAAGAATGAAATCTTGCCATTTGCTCCTATGTAGATGAAACTCGAGAATATTATGCTAAGCAGAATTAGAGAAACACAAATATCGTATGACTTCACTCATATGAGGAATTTAAGATACAAAACAGATGCATATAGGGAAGGGAAACAAAAATATAAAAACAGGGAGGGGAACAAAACATAAGAGACAAATATAGAGAACAAACAGAAGGTTGCTGGAGGGATTGTGGGAGGGGGGATGGGCTAAATGGGGAAGGGGCATTAAGAAGTCTCCCGAAATCATTGTTGCACTATATGCTAACTTGGATGTAAATTAAAAAATAAAAATATAAAACAAAGTAAAACTTACTTTGAAATGCAAATAAACTTTAAAAAATTAAAAATAAATCAAAATAAACTTAAAAAAAACCAAAAGGTCAGTAAAGACCACAGTGAGGAAAGATTTTAACACTGAACTTCTATTTCGAGTTTCTCCTCTGGCACTGAGGGAGATGAACGGGGGAAGGAAGAAAAAAGTACTTTATTTTTTAAGTTTTTCTTTTATTTATTTTGAGAGAGAGAGAGAGAGCAAGTGAGCAGGGAGGGGACAGACAGAGAGGGGCAGAGAGAGAATCCCAAGTTGGCTCCATGCTGTCAGCACAGAGCCCGATGTGGGGCTCAAACTCACGAACCTTGAGACCATGACTGGACCCAAAACCAAGAGTCAGATGCTCAACCGACTAAGCAACCCAGGTGCCTTGAAAAAAGTATTTTAAAAGACTGGTCTAATAACTATAGGCCTCTGTGCTCAAATGAAGGTTAAGACTAGCATCAAAGATACCAGCTAGAGGCCATCTCCATTATTCCAAGTGATGACGGCACTAACTCATGGTAACAGTGGGAAAGGAAAAGAGACTACACAGAGCTTTAATACTACTGGTTATAGCAGAGACAGTAGAGATCTATGGATAAAGACTCTGAGCTACTCAACCAGGGATGCAGTACAATCATCAATTCATATCCATAATACTGGTTAAGCAACAGGACCCAACAAGTTTCCAAGTTCTACTCAATTTTAGAATTTTTGAAAATATATGTACAGAAAAGGTGTGACTTTCACAAGGCATTAGCCATGATTGACATAATGACCAAGACCACTCAAACTGATTTGAACAAGGCTGTTACTCTATGTGGGTCTTTATTATGGTAACAAATGCAACAGTTACATACAAATACAATGTAAACAAAGAGAAAATACAGGATTTTATAAACACCACAGGATCTAACTTAAGGCACTCAAAACACCTGGCCTAACATATAGTCACTATTACTCCCACTTTTTAGTACCCTTACCTGGTACCTTTTCTCCCAAAATGGATTGATAAAGAGCAATAAAAACATTAGCATCACAGTCTTCCAGTTCTCGTATCCTCAGGTGTATGTGACATTTCAAAAGAAGGTTATTGGCAACGGTTATCCACTCTGTTAGGAAAGGAAAAAGATAAGCCTTAAATAGCGAAAGTCGACCCCACGAAGACAGACATTGAATGAAGCGCAAGATAAGAAATTTGGTTACTATATGAGTTCAAAGGCCCTCCAAGGCATGAATTTTGAAAATACATTACTTAATTTCTAGCACTCTGGAAGTGCTAGAGTGCTAGAATTTCAATGTAGTAAAAACTATGATGCAAATCCAATGTCTACCGTTATAAGCTAAAGTCCTAAGTTATGTACCCTTTTCTTATTTTACAAGTCACACAAAGCTGTTTTTATTTAAAACATACGTATAAGTAAGCAAATATTATGTCATAAGCAAGACACTTTGTTAATGATAGTCTGAGGCTACCAGAAACTAATTAATGAATGCTGTTTCAAATTCCCAATAGCGTTAGTCATGTTTTTACCCAATTATCTTGTGCAAGTCAGAATTTCTCTGGTGCCCAATAGGCTGATAAACGCAGGCTGTTAAGAAGTGAAGTAATGACACTAACACTACAACATTTGTTAGTTTTTAATTATATTTAATGTGTAAGAAATAAAACATAGAAAATACCTAAAAATGTGTCTAAATTCAGAGCTAGCACATTATCAACACTGAAGTTTCCTGTGCCACCGCAACCCACCCCCAGACACCGTTGGAATTATAGCAAGCACACTTCAAGGGTTTCTCGAACAATTTAGAAAGCTTGAAATATTTGCGCCCTGATATAATTTAGCAACTAAAGAGAAAGTTCTGTTACTCTGTATCTGACATGCTCAGCAGGTTCTAAAAATGTGTCTGTGTATTCAAGGCACATTATCTCCCTCTTCCCAGAAATAAATGAGAGTATCTTCCAAGAATCACGTTCTCTCTTCTCTCCCCGTGCCCAGTTCTCAAACTGACCAAACCAAAGGGTTTGAAGTTTGAACGCTGTCTGGAAGAAAAGGATGAAGGCGTCCCAGGCAACCCAATCAACTCGCTTCTCGAAAGCGGTTGCTAGAAAAAGCCAGGTAACGACACAGAGCGCCGAAGAGAAAAATCCACCACCGTTCTACTTTGGCAAGGGCATCAACAACACCGTAAGAGTGCCGTTGCTCAAAAGTTCAATGCACAGGCAGGTACGGCCTCAGTCTCCACAGTTCAAGAAGCAGAGAGCGGCTGACAGTGGCTGGATTCCCGAGAATACAGGTACCAGGAGGACACTTTCTGCTTTCTGACTGCCCTCTTTGCAGCCAGGCTGCAGGCGTGCTGCGGGCCCTCCTCTTCACACCCCAAAATCGCGCTCGATAGCCACTAAGCGAACCAAGAGCGGGGCTAAGAGACCCAAACCCGCCGACCACGACGGGGTGTCTGTGACGTGCCCCGTCGGCAGGCCAGACCAGTGAGTCCAGCCGGAGGACTCGAGATAAAAGGAACAGGGGCGTTCGGGTTCTTAAACGGTTTCAGTCCACACACACCGGGGCTCCGGGCCGAGACTCACCAGCCTCTGAGCCGGCCATATCACGGAGGCAGGTTGCCGCTAGACTCCCAACTGGGCGCGCGATGGACGGCGTCCTGCAAGGGCCGAACAGCGCAGACGCACCGCCGAGGTGGGGGAACGAAACGAAAGGGCTGGGGGAGAAAGAGGGTGGGCCTTTAGAACGGCTTCTCGCTGCTGATTGGTCATCACAGGAGGACTTCCTTTCTCAGCACGGGCCGAGGCGGCGGTTTGTGGGCTCTAGATACCCTTCGCCGCGGGCAATATCCCGCTAAGGGATTCTCAGGTGGGTGGGTTTAACATATCGGGTCACACCCAGCAGCCCAGGTCGGTCTCCCGGGGGCATTAGTACGGAACTTCCGGCGAGCTATTTCGTTTCGTATTCCTCCGCCGACGCCAACTGGAGAAGTAGTGCGGTGCGCTTACCCGGTGGGCGGGAGCAGCCACGTGACAACGTCTGGCTCCGCCTTCCCGTCTCATTTGGTTAGAGGCGTGAAGGCTCTTTGGAGACGTAAACATCTCCAAGTGGGCTGAGTGGGTTGGCCTGTGCTGGCCATTTTGTTGGGTAGGCTGAACCTGGAAAAGGGCAGGGTGGCCTCCCTGAGGTGTGGAAAAGCGAGAAAAAGGTAAAGAATAGGGTGTAGGCTGAGACATCTCAGTGTGGGTGGGTGGGTCCAGCCATGAAAGGGGCCCTAAACCGGCGATTCCGAGGGAGGGGCGGTGGGGGGTGGGGCGAGAACATGGCGGATCCCGGAACGCCGGCGGGCGTTGCGGCCTCTGCGCAGGGGCGGAGTGATTAGGTCATAGAGCGGCTCCCAGCATTCTTTGCGGCGGAGGAGGCGGTCCAGACTATAAAACCGGCTGCCGGGACGCGGCCGGCACCTCATTCATTTCCACCGGTCTCTCGTTGAGCAGCTCCGGCCTCAGTCATCGCCGCTCCTCCGCCGCTTCCGCCCCCGCAAGGCTTTGCTGTCGCCAAAGCCACCCGCAGCGACTCGTCGCATCCGATTCTCTCCATTTCGTTCCCCGCCAACCGCAACCATTGACGCCATGTCGGGTTATTCGAGTGACCGAGACCGCGGCCGGGATCGAGGGTGAGTGTGGGAACGGACTTGTCAGGCCTGGCAGTGGGGGATGGGAGGCCGATGGAGGTGGCGGGCGGGGGCGACAGGAGCTTGGGTTTCTCAGCCTATCCTTAGGCTTTTGTGACTGAGGGCTTGCGCCATTTTGGCATTTGTCTAAAACTGACTGAAAGCTGTTTTTCTGTTAACGGTTTTTAAGGTCGCCTTTTGTTGGCGGGCTGGCGGGGAGGACATCGAAGTTTCCCCGGCGATTGAGTAGCTGTTGGGAGAATTCGGGGGAGGGTATTTCGAGGGGAGGAAAGCGCGACGTTTCCAAGAGGATGAAGTCGTCGCTATTAGGTGCAACCCTTCGAGATGTGGTTTAGGTGCCCCGGGAATTCTTTGAGAGCCGTCGGGCTCGCCTCCGAACCCGTTGATGTGACAGGGGCAGCAGGGTGGCCAGCGCCGCGGGAATCGGCCATGTGGTTGGGTCGCGGGTACAAAATGCCGGCGTCGGACATGGCGGCGGCGCCTTTGTTACCCCGCCCGGCGGAGGAGCTCAAAATGGCAGCGTCGAGAAAATGTGGCGCAGAGAGAAATGCGAGACAAAGGGGGAAGCGCCGCCCCAGCGGGAACGCCGCCCGGTCCGGGACTCCTCCCCCGGTAGTTGCCAGCTCCTCCTCCTCTTTTTCTTTGCGTTATATAATTTTGCTATCAGAATCAGGAGCCCTTCCGTGGGATACCCCCAATTCGATTGGCTTGCGTAAGTGTCCCTGAGACCACCGTCCTTGTTCTGTTCTCATTGCTTGTGTCGTCCCGTTATTCCTTAAAATCAAAGCTTCTTTGCTTGAAAACAGTCGGTAAATAATATCGCTGTTAAGCTCCTCCCTTGTATTGTCTCTTTCCCAGACATTTAATTCCTAAGCTCACGGGAAAGGCTAGTAACCATAAGCTGTTGTCTATCCTTGTAATCGGAACTTCGGGCGTTTGGGCAGCCAGTTTCCGACCTGCTATATCCCGGGCTGTTGACTTGCCTTTAGTAGTGTGTACTTGGGACAACGGGAAGGGAGAGAGATGGTGCTAATGGTGGCTTTTGATAGCGTGACCATCACCAAGGGCAGTGCTGTCTTCAAACTGTGAAAGTCATTTGCTTTTAGTGTGTGCCAAAGGGTGAAAAGTCTGTATGTAAATTACTATGTAGACATTTGAAAATGTGAGGTTTTTGTCTTTGTTTTTGTTTTTCCAGGTTTGGTGCACCTCGATTTGGGGGAAGTAGGGCAGGGCCCCTATCTGGAAAGAAGTTTGGAAACCCTGGGGAAAAACTAGTCAAAAAGAAGTGGAATCTTGATGAGCTGCCCAAATTTGAGAAGAATTTTTATCAAGAGCACCCTGATTTGGCTAGGCGCACAGCAGTGAGTAATTTCACATGGTTTTATCAGGCTATAATTCAATAATGACTTAAATCAAAATCTGAATAGAGAGGTCTTGGAAATGACCAAATTAAGGGAAATTCACACTTTTATGGTCGCCAAGAAAGAGGTGGTACTTATAAAAACAGATGGCTTGGGATTTTTCTACTTCAAAGTTGTTGACTATAACCATGATAGGTGAATCTTGTGCTGTGTGGTGTCTGTATGTGGATACAGGTTTAAAATCCCATTAAGGTTTGTTAATCATTTAAAAAGTTAGGGACCTGCTGACTTGCATGTTAGTGAAGGTTGTTATGGTACTTAGTAGATCATTAAAATTTGTTTTCTAGCAAGAGGTGGAGACATACAGAAGGAGTAAGGAAATTACGGTTAGAGGTCACAACTGCCCAAAGCCAGTTCTGAATTTTTATGAAGCGAACTTCCCTGGTAAGTGCCTAGTTTTGACGTCCCCCCCCACTGCATTTTTTTTTTTTTTTTTTTTTGGTTTTGCTAATTTTTTATTGAATTGTTGCTAATTTTAGCTAACGTAATGGATGTCATTGCAAGACAGAATTTTACTGAGCCCACTGCTATTCAAGCTCAGGGATGGCCCGTTGCTCTAAGTGGATTGGATATGGTTGGAGTAGCACAGACTGGATCCGGGAAAACGTTGTCTGTAAGTTTGGGATAACTCTTGAGTTTTATTCGGTGGTGATGTGTTAGAGAAAACAAATTGAGAATATAAAGAAACCGGAAACATTTTAACTTAATTCCTGTTGTTTGCCTCCCCCCCCCCCCCATAGTATTTGCTGCCTGCTATCGTCCACATCAATCATCAGCCATTCCTAGAGAGAGGTGATGGGCCTATTGTAAGTAGACCTATTTTTATTAGCTTTTGCTTAGGAGTATGATGGAGAGATTTGTAGCAAATGTTTGTATGTGGCAAAAAACTCATGCTTTTACATGGAGATGTTAGCTGTCTTATTCAACTTAGTTGGAGACAAAGCTGTCTTTACAGCAAACATCAATTACCTGCCAGCATAATGCCAGTAAGTTTAAAACTAGAATCCGGGACTCTGTTAAAATCTGCTCTGCTTTGTGTTTTAGTGCTTGGTGCTGGCACCAACTCGGGAACTGGCCCAACAAGTACAGCAAGTAGCTGCTGAATACTGTAGAGCATGTCGCTTGAAGTCCACTTGCATCTATGGTGGTGCTCCAAAGGGACCACAAATTCGTGATTTGGAGAGAGGCACGTAACAGTAATTTTGTCAGTGTTGGTTCTAGAACTTCTACACTACGTGTTGTAGTTACATCATGTGTTTCATTGAAGGTGTGGAAATCTGTATTGCAACACCTGGAAGACTGATTGACTTTTTGGAGTGTGGGAAAACCAATCTGAGAAGAACCACCTACCTTGTCCTTGATGAAGCAGACAGAATGCTTGATATGGGCTTTGAACCCCAAATAAGGAAGATTGTGGATCAGATAAGAGTAAGTTAGCCTTTAAAAATGTTTCCTTTTCAAGCTTATCTCAAAGATTTATTCTTAGAATACAATGCTTTTTTTAACCCAAAATTCTTCAGCCTGATAGGCAAACCCTAATGTGGAGTGCAACTTGGCCAAAAGAAGTAAGACAGCTTGCTGAAGATTTCCTGAAAGACTACATTCACATAAACATTGGTGCACTAGAACTGAGTGCAAACCACAATATTCTTCAGATTGTGGATGTATGTCATGATGTAGAAAAGGATGAAAAGTAAGTTTTCTGTAGAAGTATTGTTCTAAAAACATCACTGTACAAATTCAGGAGTTAACCGTTTGATAGGTTATCTTAAAAGTGATTTTCAGTTGGGTGCAATGTTGGGTGTTTGTTTAAAATTAGTCCTTGTTAAAGTACTTTCTTTCATTCGCGCAATTGGTTATCACTATATAGCAAAGAAGGAAAAGGAACTCCTTTATGGTTTAAGGACCAAGGATAGAATTGCCTGATACAAGTGTTCAAGCAGGTGTTTTTACTTGAGTTGTGTAAATCGAAGTTAGTGATTTCACTGACCATAAATATGTGTCTGTAACTGTGGACTTCTTTTATTAAAATTCACAATTTGTTTTTCCAAGACTTATTCGTCTAATGGAAGAGATCATGAGTGAGAAGGAGAATAAAACCATTGTTTTTGTCGAAACCAAAAGAAGATGTGATGAGCTTACTAGAAAAATGAGGAGAGACGGGTATGTGGGCTTCTTCCATTGAAGCAGGTGTATGAGAGCTGAGTTTAGAGGGAGAGGCAAACAGATCGAAAGTAACAGATTTGAGTTTCATGGATGGCAGTTATATCTGGTGTAAATAAAACTGTACATCAGGTAAAACTAAAGGAAATTGTGATTAGTTTTTTAAGCAGACTAAAATCTATGAGGTTTTAAAGGTGAACTTACTGATAGTTTTTCTTCAATGTAGGTGGCCCGCCATGGGTATCCATGGTGACAAGAGTCAACAGGAACGTGACTGGGTTCTAAATGGTAAGTCAAATGAAAATGAAAATTTTTTTCTTAAAACCTGTCATTCTTACATTATTGATGATAGTTTTTCTTTTACAGAATTCAAACATGGAAAAGCTCCTATTCTGATTGCTACAGATGTGGCCTCCAGAGGGCTAGGTTAGTAAAAACTCGAATTCATGGCTCGGTTTCCCAGAAGATCTCCATATACTTTTTTAAAGAAAGTTTATTGCTTTCTTTAACCTC